ATATATATATATATATATTATGATTCTGAAGATCTCTATTTATCATTAATATTATGGTTTTGTTTGTTTTTCTTCTTTAAAGTGTTTTTTTCTGATACTGGTAATCGTAGTTTATCGTTGTGGTTTTGATTTTTGTGTAATGTTGAAAATTGATCATCAAAAAAATTGCATATACTTTTTTAATTCAATCAAGATTTGAGACTAAAAATGTATAAGGGGAAGCATTTTTAGGTGCTGTAATTAGTCTTTCAGCCTTAACGTGATATATGAGTGTGATAAATGAGTGTTTGCGCTCCTCACCAGTTGGGTTCGCAGGTGGTGCCGATCTTGCTGACGGTGTAGCTGCTCCAGCCCAGGACAGGAGGAATGGTCCAGATGAAGGAGAAGGTCCAGACAAACAGCAGACCCAGAGCCGCGTGTTTTCCTCGCAGACGGATGTTCCCCAGCGGCCGACAGATGACGAAGAACCGCTCGAACGCCAGGACGGCCAGAGACCACAGAGCCACGATGCCTGCAGATTCAGACAGAGACCGATGAACAGAAGATCTCTCCATAACAGCGGAGAAGACTGAGAGCAACTTCATGACATATATATTTATTGCACGAGTAATTTTAGATGTGTTTTAACTAACATTAGCTATACTGCTATAAGTTTACATAAACATATATAAAACTCAATTGAGCTCAAGTTTTTTATGCACATTTTTAGAATTTATGTGCATCTTGGCATTTCCGTCCAACGTTTTTTAATGCGATATTCCAAAATTAATTGGATGGAAATATAGCTACTGTGCACTGAAAATATGGAGATGCATTTGCAAACAGGTTTGCAGTTTTGTAATTGATGAACATCAACCCTGTTATTGAACTGAACTGAATCAACACTGCACTGAATTGAGCTGAATAATGACACTATTGTCTGCTTTAGAGCTGTTTTTTGGCTTAATCAAATTCATTTAATAATTGATTATTTTTCAACTTTCTGCAACATTGTTATTACTGTGAAGCTGCTTTGAAACAATCTGTACTGTGTAAAGCGCTGTAGAAATAAATGTGACTTGACAATGCATTGCAATTAATTTCTGAAAAACACATGCAACTCATATAAAACAAACTGAACAAGTGCATAAAAAATTTAACTGGTGATTTAATTACATTCGCCTTGTCTTGTTAGCAACCAGAAAACTTCCATTTCTTTGTATGTATAATAATTTTTAGTGGGTCATTTATGTTAATATTTTTTATATTAACATTTTAAGTCCACACAAAAAATCTGAGACACAATAAAATATTTAAAGTTGTAGATTCATAACTAGACTTGACAGATCATTAAATTTGCATTTATTGCACAAAATTGCAATGAAAAACTCATTTGTGTGAGCATGATGTTTCTATTATAAACTCTAACTTCATTGAGCTTCTTATGACCAGATGTTACATGATTGACAGTTAATGAAGATCTACTAATAATGTGTCCACTGTGAAATCAGGACAAACTTCACACTGCTTTACTGTACACCTGACATCTGTAATCACAATGTTTTTACTCGGTTTATCTTCTCTTTAGTTTGACCAAGTCCAACTGCATTAAAACAGACAGTGCACGCATAAATAGCAATTAAGAGGATCAATCAAAGCTGTTTAATGAATGAGAGTGTGACTGTGGGTCTGCGATCGCATGAATGGTAAACACTGACACAGATGTGAGAGCAGCTGTTCATCTGGGTTATTCTTTACAGAGTCATCAGTTCACAGGCACATCAGCTATTTAATATTTAATATGCAGCTAATGATTTTGCATGCAAACTTATATACTGTGTGTTAGTTTTGATCCTCTGATCTAATTAAATCCCATTAAACAAACATTTTGGATCGCCGAGTAGACATGCACTTTTCATTACTGTAACTGGTATTAAATGCAATTATTTAGATTTTGTTGGCGTCATCTGAACCCTGAAAAACTGAAAAAGTGTAAAAACAAAACAGAACAACCGGCATGAGTGAAATTCTGCCGTGTATACAATCTTAACATGTAGAAATTGATATATGTACACTACCAGTCAAACGTTTTTGAACAGTAAGATTTTTAATGTTTTTAAAAGAAGTGTCTTCTGCTCACCAAGCCTGCATCTATTTGATCAGAAATACAGCAAAAGCAGTAAAATTGTGAAATATTATTAGAAACTAAAACAGCTGTGTTCTATGTGAATCTCTGTTAAACTGTAATGTATTTCTGTGATGCGCAGCTGTTGCAGCTAATGATTTTGCATGCAAACTTATGTACTGTGTGTTAGTTTTGATCCTCTGATCTAATTAAATCCCATTAAACAAACATTTTGGATCGCCGAGTAGACATGCACTTTTCATTACTGTAACTGGTATTAAATGCAATCATTTAGATTTTGTTGGCGTCATCTGAACCCTGAAAAACTGAAAAAGTGTAAAAACAAAACAGAACAACCGGCATGAGTGAAATTCTGCCGTGTATACAATCTTAACATGTAGAAATTGATATATGTACACTACCAGTCAAACGTTTTTGAACAGTAAGATTTTTAATGTTTTTAAAAGAAGTGTCTTCTGCTCACCAAGCCTGCATCTATTTGATCAGAAATACAGCAAAAGCAGTAAAATTGTGAAATATTATTAGAAACTAAAACAGCTGTGTTCTATGTGAATCTCTGTTAAACTGTAATGTATTTCTGTGATGCGCAGCTGTATTTTCAGCATCATTCCTCCAGTCTTCAGTGTCACATGATCTTCAGAAATCAGTATAATATGCTGATTTATTAGAAACATTTCTGATTATTATTATTAATAATAATATTTAAAACAGTTGAGTACTTTTCAGGATTCTTTGATGAGTAGAAAGATCAGCATTTATCTAAAATAAAAAGCTTTTGTAACATTATACACTATACCATTCAAAAGATTGGAGTCAGTATAATTTTTTTCTTTGGGAAAGAAATGATAGAAATTACTACTTTTATTTAGCAAGGATGCTTTAAATTGATCAAAAGTGACGATAAAGACATTTAGAATGTTACAAAAGATTTATATTTCAGATAAATGCTGTTCTTCTTTCTATTTATCAAAGAAACCTGAAAAAATTCTACTAGTTGTTTTCAACATAATAATAACAATAATAATAATAATAGTTTTCTGAGCAGCAAATCAGAATATTAGAATGATTTCTGAAGGATCATGTGACTGGAGTAATGATCCTAAAATTCAGCTTTGATCACAGGAATAAATTACATTTTAAAATATATTCAAATACAAAACAGTGTTTTCAACATCATAATAAATGTTTCTTGAGCAGCAGAGCAGTATATTATACTGATTTCTGAAGATCATGTGACACTGAAGACTGGAGTAATGATGCTGAAAATACAGCTGCGCATCACAGAAATAAATTATATTTTAAAATCTATTCACATAGAAAGCAATGATTTTAAATAGTAAAAATATTTCACATTTTTACTGCTTTTTCTGTATTTCTGATCAAATAGATGCAGCCTTGGTGAGCAGAAGAGACTTCTTTAAAAAACATGACAAATTCAAAAACTTTTATAGTGCACATATAGTGTTTTTGAAAACCCAAACGACACATGCTGAACATGATCAGAAGCTCTAATGCAAACTTACCAAAAAAGGTGACTGCGAAACCTTCCAAAACACAAGCCCATTTGCCCAAGAAGAAATAGCCGTGGAAGTTGGTCAGAAAACTGATCGTTCCTCCAGTCAGCGACACGAGAAAGTCCGCTACAGATAAATTGACGATGATATAATTGAGCGGCTGTCGGAGCTGTTTGAACCTGAAGGTGACCAGCATCACCGTGAAGTTCTCGCACAGAGACACCGAGGTCACCACGAACATCAGCGCCGCAAGGACCTTATAGTTCCAGGGTGCGATGAATGTAAGCGGTCCCGAGAACGGATCCTCGGTGTAAGAGACGCCGTTCACCGCCGCACCAAACGACTCCATCGCTCCAAACGAGTCAGATGAACCAAACCGAGACTACATCTGGAGAAAGTCTGCGTGCATCGTAAAGACAAGGCTATTCTGTGATATTTAGTGCTTGTTCTCTATGAGCTTCATAATCCAGGCGCGCGCGTTCCTTGTACTTGTTGAGCGTGTTTGACGGTCCTGAATCTGGAGGGGTTTTGTTGACTTTCTCTTGCTGGATGGGGTTTATATAGGCTATCGGCACAGGTCGGGTCAGCCACGTAGCTGTGCCTTCATCATCATCATCGTCACTTGTGTGCAGAACTCCAGTCAATGCGCTCGCGCTTCAAGGATGCATCCATTACGCAGAAACGCCGCGTGCGTAATTGTGGAGAACAGCCAAACTCCCCTCATTGAGCGCGCAAACGGTGACTGCTAAACTATTGTGCATTTCGTCGATACTGCGCCGCTCGTCTTTCTCAGTCCTTCTCTGCGGAATAAGGGCAGTGTGTGAAGAGGATCGATGCCGGAGACCCTGGAGAGCCGCTCTGATTCATCACGCACTCCAGCTGCACCGCGGGACGCGAGCGCGCTGCATTAGTGCAGGTCAATAAGTGCAATCCAATGCATTCAAAACAACAAGTGCTAATAGAGTTATGCATTATAATGCGACGTTGTTGAGACTATGGATTCTACGGTTTACTTCTACTGAACATGCAAAATAAGTCTTAAATAGAAATGGACCCAGAAAGTTGCACGGGAGACTGTGACACTCCAGTGAATAGATAAAAATGTTAAAGTCACAAAAAATAAACACTAACACTACTGAACATCGGGGCAAGTTGTCACAATGGGAGCCTGTTGTTATAGGCTTTTAAAACAGTTATGAAAGACAACATACAAAATCTCAGATATTGTATTTTATCTAAATACATTTGTATTTTATACTAAAAAATAAAACATAAAAAACTGTTCATTTTTTATTTCAGCTATTTGCCAAGGCAACATTTTTATTCACTTTGATTTACTAAAATAACAAAAATTATATACACATATAAAAAACACACACACACACACACACACAACAAAATACTAGAACTTTCAAATGAAAATGGAAAACATAAAAATGAAAACAAATTCAAAGTATATAAAAAAACTACTATAATTGTAATTATCTCATTTAAATTTATTCGTAAAAAACATTTTTTTTACATTATTACAATTCATTTGTGAAGCATTAATACTGATAATTTGTTCAAAAATATTTTTAGATATTGTTTGAGGATAAAATCTCAAAGTTTTTGGCCAAAAGATATGATATTTTATGTAAATATCTATTGGTGTTACAATCTGCTGCTACTGTGAAGGAGTGAGGAGACGTAGGAGAATTTGTGAATATAGCCACAAAATACTAGAACTTTCAAATGAAAATGGAAAACATAAAAATGAAAACAAATTCAAAGTATATAAAAAAAACTACTATAATTGTAATTATCTCATTTAAATTTATTCGTAAAAAACATTTTTTTTACATTATTACAATTCATTTGTGAAGCATTAATACTGATAATTTGTTCAAAAATATTTTTAGATATTGTTTGAGGATAAAATCTCAAAGTTTTTGGCCAAAAGATATGATATTTTATGTAAATATCTATTGGTGTTACAATCTGCTGCTACTGTGAAGGAGCGAGGAGACGTAGGAGAATTTGTGAATATAGCCTTTATTAGTCCAATGGAACGCACACGTAGCAGGAGCAAACAGTTCAGGGGGCCATGGCGGAGCAGACAGTTCAGGGGGCCATGGCGGAGCAGACAGTTCAGGGGGCCATGG